TGGGGCTGCTGCTGCTGAGCGCCGCGTGCCTCATCCCGCCGAGCGCGCAGGTGAGGCGGTTGGCGCGCTGCCCCGCCACTTGCAGCTGTACCAAGGAGTCCATCATCTGCGTGGGTTCCTCCTGGGTGCCCAGGATCGTGCCTGGCGACATCAGCTCCCTGTGAGTGGGACCCCTCCACCCCTGCCCCGCCCTGCCCTGTGCCGGCCGCCACCACGGGGTTGCGGCTGGTGCTGGGGCAGCGCCACCTGACCCTGCTCCCTAATTCCTTTCTTTGCGTTTGGGTTGGGGGCGCACCACGGGACGTGGGTGGAGTCTGTGCCGCGGGGAGGCTAGGGGGACTCAGAACCACAGAGTGCGGGAATCCAGATAGGTCCGCTTTGACAGTTTCTCATTGTGGCCCTTGGCCACCGGCGTCAGATCTACCTGGGGGAGCTGATGTTACTGCAGACCCAGGGCCCACAGTGGGGTAGGGTCTGTGCACCAGAGTTCACAGCCTGTATTTCGCGCCCCGGGATGACTGTTGGGGGGGTGCCTTAAAGTTTTGAGTGGTTCTGTTGTGCTGCTGGGTGGGTGTGTGTGTGACTGGAGGGTGGCTGAATGTGCCCGGATTGAGCGGACCGACTAGGAATGGGTGAGGCCTCATGGCAGCCACCCTCAGCTGTACTGTGAGTTTGGCCCCCTCCGGACCTCTCCACACTGCAGACTGGGAAGAGGCTGGCGTGGGCAAAGGAGGGGTGCTCCACGTGGCTTCAAAGAGGGGGAACCCAGAGGGCTTCCAAGTACCTTGAGATAATGAGGCATCCAGCTGAACCTCTAGGGTAGGAAGACACCCGACTTCTTGCCTTGGGTTCAAGAGGGCCTCTCTTTTTCCCACCTTTCTCCACAGAGGGTTATATTACCAGCACTGACAGAACTAATCAAAAGGGATCCCCTGTCCACTTGCTAAGTGCCTTCAACGAGGTCTCACCCAGTCACACTGACAAAATGTTGCTATGGAAGGGATCTTAGGGGGTTACCTTATTGCTGGGACATGTCCTGCTAGGACAGTCCATTGTTCCAGGGTAAGGTCCTGGGGGCACCCCCCTCCCCCGCACAGTTGTATAGGAGGGAATCCTGAGGGTGAGGGAGTCCTGGGGGTAACGTTGCATGTGCTTTTTCCTGCGTGTCATCATTCCTGTGCTTTGTCTCCAAAGCAAAATGGCATCACGGTGCAGCAATGGAAAGGTCCTGGGTCCTGTTTACGTTTGTAAAAAGTTGGGAGAGTAAGCTGTGGGGAACAGCAGGCCTGTTTGACTCATACTATTGATAAATTAGATCACATGGGGGATTCTAGCATTTCTTTTGTAAAGCCTTTGGGATATGATCAAAGCCGAGGAGTTCTGCATGTTAACTCCAATAGTGTATGGAAGCGCTGCTGTGGCCAGAAAGGGTAGGAGACCCTGAGGCCGAAGCAACCAGGCTTCTTTCTGGAGTTGACCATTTATCTGGCAGATGGCGTTGCCTCTTCCTTCATGGGCAAGTTCAGGTGTCTCCGAGTTTCCCCCCGAGGCTTTCACAGTGCATTTAATCAGAAGTGCTCTGAGTGTCTTCTCCGGATGCGTGCTTCCAAGGGGAATGCTTAATCCTACCCCGGAGTTCCGTGGGCCAACATTAACTTTGTGTCTGCACAAACAGAATCTTGGGCAAAGGTGAAGCAATTACCCACCTTCAGCAGGGGCCTCCTGGAGTGAAATGAAGGAAGCTAGAGGATTATCTTGAGCTGACAGTGTCTGTGCAAGGAGCCAGACCAGGGATTCAGTTAGCCTGAGGAGTCTCCCTATTGATCAAGTGCACTGGAGGCAGCTTGCCTCTCCACAGCTTGTTTCCTGGGGAGATGATGGCCAAACACAGGTAGCTTTACCCCAGGGAGGAATAGGGTGAAGCTCAGGTGGAGGATGAGGCCAATTGCAAACTTGGGTTGACATTTCCCGAAAGCAACCTGGGCATCCCTCTGCCCCTTTCTTGCCCTGTAGGAGCCTAGTCAATGGAACCTTTTTGGAAATCAAGGACCGGATGTTTTCCCATCTGCCTTCCCTGCAGCTACTGTGAGTATGGGGCATCCTCTACAAAATGGGGTCCCCAAAGTGTGGTCCTTCAAGGGTGGTCTCGTCTTCCTGTAAATCAACAGCTAGAATCTCCCATGCCGACTCTTAGCTTTAGCCTGTCCTATGGTGTCCACATTGAACCACCGTCCTGCGCTGCTTTCTCACCTGACTCTCCACCAAGTTCTCCCGGCTTTGTGGTACATCCCACTCACAGATCAGGCAATTGGGAGTGGCTGCATTGGCCATAACCAGAGTTTCACCTCAATAAATAGTTTCCCCAAACATCTCACCTCCAAAGAAATTTATCTTTAAAAATTTCCGTATTACTCTTTGAAGAGCACTTCCAGTTTGTCTCACATACATGCAGGCAGGCAGCATACTGGGCATTGTAGGTGTGCATGCTTCTACCTCACTGGCATGGCATCTCTTCGGGAAAGGTACTTTACTTTGGTTTTCCCATCTGAGAGATAAAGAATTTGATGCTCAGAACATGCAAATTGCCTTGATCCATGGAGTGAGGATCCAGACACAAAGCCCAAAGCTACATTTGCCCTGGCTCCTCTTAGTGATCCGTGCCCCAATCACCATGATGAGTGCCTGTGTAGGACCCTGAAACCTAAGTCAGTTGATGTTTGATAATGACAATAAATGCCCCAAAGTCACTTTTGAATGTAATTCCCTAGGCTGGGGGGTGTGTATGGAGGGTATGTAGCTCAGTGGTAGAGCGTTTGTCTACCGTACAGGAAGCCCGGGGTTCCATCCTTAGCATCACATAAACAAGACAGAAAATCAGCAGCCGCTGTGAGTACGTGGCACAGATTCTCTCGTATTTCTTGGACTCGATGAGACTGTAACTACAGCAGGCAATGCGCTATGGAAAAAGACAGAGGCACAAATCACTACCCATCCTCAGTAAATTGCCATTGATAGTTCTCTTCTTGGCGTGTTTTACACCTACTATAACATTAAACTCACCACTTAAAATCTCAGTTCATATGCCAACAAGGTGACTCCGTAGGCAAAGGTGTTTGCCACCAAGCCTAATGACCTGAGTTTGATCCCTGGGTCCTGTATGGTGGAGGGAAAGAAGCGACTCCTCAGATTATCCTCTGACCTTACGTATGTTTTCTGGCACATTTGTGTCCACAGACATGTCGTACACCTATACAATAAATACATAAACAAAACACAACTTTACCTCTCAATTCTTTTGGAATAGAAGTATAGCCTAGCTATTATTTGGCTAAATAAACTTAGGTGGTTTCTATAAATACTTACAAAAAGTATTTACTTGGCTACTCAAATAGAAAACTACATAGTGATAATCTTCTAGAGGTTTCTTAACCTCTTAAGAATGACTGTTTCTGTTGAGATAGCATGGTAGACTGTGTGACTTTGGTCAACCCTCTTAACTTCTTTGGGCTCAAATATCTCGAGAATACAGTTGGATTAGATCCTCATACGTCTGTGATTCCATGGTTTCTTGGGCATCACGAAGTATTCATTGGGTATTCAGTTGTGCCTAGCTGAAAACTGTTTTTGAATAATGGCCACCAGTTCCTATTTCCCAGGATTCATATTTTCCAAGGTGGGGGCAGAGAGGTTGTACTGGAGATAGCGGAAAATTCAGAGAGCAAGAGATCCCTTCCTCACTGTCCCCATCACAATGGTGAGGACAGCTGGGAACCTAACGGGTTGTCTTTAGGCTGAGAAGAGCCTTCATTTATTTGCCCACAGATTAGCACCTAAGAAAAATGGCTTCGCCACATGAATTGCCCTTTCCATCTCTATTCTACTAAAGCCTGTTTTGTTTTCAGACTGCTGAATTCTAACTCCTTCACAGTGATCCGCGATGATGCCTTTGCTGGCCTCTTTCATCTCGAATACCTGTAAGTGTTGCTGAGAGTTTGGTGCCTCCAGGGGCTTTCTGAGTTGTGTCCTGTGGAGGGGATGGGGTGCAGAAAACACCGTTCTCTTGCCAGCACTGGTCCATGAGTTGATTTTCTTCCCAGCATGGGGGCAGGAGGAGGCTGGGGACGAAGCTCAGGAGGGAGGCGCTGGCTCATTCATTCTCAGCTGACATTTAATTTGTCATGTAGTAAGTACGACTGGAAATTGTGTTGGATATTTTTACCTCCATAACTAGGCATGGATTTGCTGATGGGCCAGAAATAGAGCTGGATGGTTCTCAGGGCTACTTATTTTTAAACAAAGTTTCCCTATTTGAGGGTAAACTGCCTGGTTTGTATCCAGCTGTCCCATATCATGTTCGTTCTGTCTCCTGTGAGTTCTGCTGAGGGTCTGATTAGATTTTCTTTTCCTGTGCCTAAAAATGAAAACCCAAACCAAAGCATAAACAACAGAAAAACAGGAGAGGGGTTACTTACTCCCCCCTTCAGACACACCACTTCCCCTTCTAGCAGCGAACTTAGCCGTGGTTCTTATTTCAGCCTTTGTCACATCCGAGTCTTTCCCTTCCCCCTTAAGTTGTCCCAGCCTTGTGTTGGGTGAGTCTGTAATAATGCTAATCCTGCTATCAGTTGGGATTTCCTTGCTTAGCATTCAAAGGCTTTGCAGAGCCTGCTGTCTTATCTGAGGTGAACAGGTAGGCGCTGGCATTCTAGACACATCCCAGGTAGAAAGAGCTCTTTGCTGATGTGAAGTCTCAGGGACCAAGGTCTCCCCAGGAATTCTTTCTCCGGAGAACCTGCTCATAATCCGGTATTTTGGCATGTATTTGATCTGGAAAGAGTGTCACAGCTGAAGGGGTGAAGCCACCGGGGTCTGCCAAAAATCCATGGATAGCTGTGGGGTACCTGGGAATTTCTCTGGTGGGGAATTCATGTGTCACCCAGGGCATCAGGGAGAAAGTTAGCTTCTCGGGTATGCTAACGTCTAGTGCTGAACAGACAGCAGAGTTTTTAAAAACAGGCATCGGAGAGTTCTCTCTGGGAGAACTAACTTGTCAGTTGTGTCGCAGACGTGGCAAAGTCTTCCCCTTGGACCATCTCATCAAAGACCTGCTAACATCTGACTTAGCCCTTTGGCCCCCGGGAACAGTCACAGTGTCTTCCTGTCATATCCTGAGTGTCATTGTTCCCACGCAAGCCCTGTACCATCTCAGCACAAAGAAAGTCAGCGCAGCACCCTGTACTGTCCTTTCTGCTTTCTAGCATTGTTCAGGGCTTGGGAACATCCCTGCCTTGTCACTGTTTGCCTAGGGATGAGGCTGTGTAGGACAGGATGAGCTCAAGCTTGCTGGAAGCCATGTGTAATGGAACTCTTCCTAGCGAAAACTAAAATGCAGAGATGTAAAACAATGGGCTCCCCTCTAAGGACTATGGTATTAGCAAAAGTATATGGTTAGCCGGGCACAGGGCAATGTAAGAGGAGCGGGAAAGTGCCTGGAAGCTTCCCAGCCAGTGTCGTAGAGATGGGAGACTTTCTGGCCTCTGTGCAGGTACATTCTTCTTCCTTCCTCAAACTCAAGATATTATCACCCGTGTTGCCAGCTCTGAATTTGGAGACATCTATGCTGATCTGGAAGGCGCTGAGAAGCTGGCATGCATGTGTTCTTGTTCACACGCCCGGCTCCCCATGGAGTTTAGCGCAGCTTGCTACTAACTTGGGAGTTTCGATACTTCATGAGTACTTTCCGAGTTCACTGCCAAAACGCAATAGATCATCTGTTAGCGATATTAAGGAGAGGGAATTTGGTGATATTATGTTGCTTCTCTCCTTAGGTTCATTGAAGGGAACAAAATAGAAACCATTTCAAGAAATGCCTTTCGGGGCCTCCGTGACCTGACTCACCTGTAAGTTCTCTGAGCTCTGTTGTACGTGCTGGGGGCATGACTCAGTCTGTAAAATGCTGACCATGCAAACGTTAGGCCCATGGTTGGATCCCCAAGCCCATGTAAAAAGGTGGACATTATGGTGCATACTTGTTACCTCAGTGCTGGAGAAACAGAGGCAGGAAAATCCCTGGGGCTTGCTGGCCAGCCAGCCTCTCCTAAGCAGTGAACCCCAGGTCCTAGGGAGAAACCCTGTCTCAAAAAATAGAGTGGATGGCTCCTGTGGTCACATGTGCACACGTGTACTCACATGTACACATACGTGCATACGCAAACACACACATGTACACACGCAGTATTGGTTTCCCTTGATGTTTCCATATTTACAATATATCTCAAAGGAAACTCATTTCCGGATCACCCAAGAGGTTCCTATGCTGTCAGGCAACACTTACTGTGATGACCAAATGCACATTGGTCTCCACCATCCTATGTCACCATGGGGACCCGTGTGACTTCATGTGAAGTGAGAACCTCTCAGTGCTGTGAGGGCCTTGTGATCATGGAGGAAGTGGGATGGAGGCATGGTTCTTATACTCACCTGGTGCCAGGTACCAGGTACCCAAAGACCTTCTCTGAGTTTTATGATCATCTGTGAGTTCCCATTCTGCAGGACTGGGAGCTGAACCTTCCGAGACTCAGCGAAGGACATCAGGTAGAGGGTAAAGTGGCATAGAGACATCTATGTCCTCCCATTAGGATGGAAGTCGCTTTTTCTGTTGCATTAGTTAGGTTAATCTGTAGTTTCAGCTAAAATCTCTGATTCCTTACTGGCTTGCTAGAGACCAAAGCGGGAAAAAGAATTGATCTGAATTGATCTGCATGTCAGAATGAAACAGACACACACACTTAGAAAAGTGAATAAGATTGGAAAAAAAAGAATGGTGATGTTTGTGAAAATGCAAAACTGGACGTTGTCACGGTAGGAGTCATTTAGTAGCCGAGACTTGGGCTCCGTTTGCATAGTAGAGTTTTGTCTGAGGAAGATGATGGGTCCTCTATCCTTAGTCATCCGGCCTCTGATTGCAAAGGGAGCTGAGAAACTGGAGGACACGAACTCTGGCTGCTGGGCAGGCGTGGTGGCGCCTTTGAGTCTCACCCTGACCAGACCGTAGGGACGTGGTCGCTTAAGAGCCTTCCCATTAAGCCACAATGATCCTGGTGAAGGCATCTGCAGTGGGCACAGTGAGCCTGGGTTCTGGGGCCACCAAGCAGAAGCCCTACCTGAGCTGAGGGCTGGAGAGGTAGGGGAGTGGGAGCAGCAGGGGGCGGGATTGAAGCTTACTTGTCAGCACAGGGCATGGAGGAGGATGTGTGTCCTGCTGTGTTCTAGGGCTTCTGTCTTTCTGCAGGCGTCTCTCAGAGTCAAGCTGTAGGCAGAGCTCTTATTGCTCATGGACTGAGGTTTCAGGCTTGGGTTCCAAACTCCAGGTCACCACTTACTGATATTACCTGGCTTTTCTGACCCTTAGTTTCCTCATTCTCGAGATAATGATGATTATACCGACTGTAGATGGCTGATGTACATAATAGGTTTATGATGTTTGGCGGTAAAAACAGAAGCCCCAATACCCCCAGTAAATGCCAAGGATATGACTGGCATCATATTATCATCGTCACCATCCTCACCATCACCATCACCATCCTCACCATCACCATCATCATCCTCACCATCCTCACCATCACCATCCTTACCATCACCATCACCATTACCATCATCATCATCATCCTCACCATCACCATCATCATCCTCACCACCACCACCACCACCACCATCATCATCATCATCATCATCACCATCATCGTTTTCCTTTTCCGCCTCAATGACAATACAAATTCCATCCTTCCAGTCCAAAAAAAATCTTGGCTTTCTCTCTGGATTGATAAATTTTCTTGGCCAGTTGGGTATCCAGATGGAGACTGCCGAAAGGATAGATATGGCTGTCTGGCGAGGAACAGCTGGGGCAGATAGATGTGGGTCCCAAAAGTTGGGAAGGACGGCCATTGATATTAGGCACAGGCTACAGACAGAACTCACACATTGCTTACAGAGGGAACTTCCCTTATCTCGCCTTTAAATGTTGCACACAGAGAAAGCCTCAGCTCCAAAATTCACTCACTTCCTTCGGGAAGTCACTGCCCCAAGTCTTCTCATTTAAACGAGATGTTTGGTGTTGGCCTTTTGTGAACTTTCTCAACACTTGGATGCTCGCATTCATATTAAAACATGAGCCGGGTTCCAAAGCATGGAGGGAGCAGTGCCAATCTGTAACTAAAATCTAGGACATTTGTTTTCCAGCGGTCTTATAGAACCCAGGGGACGGGAAGCTATTAAATAGTTTGAGAAATGAAGTAAGTGCTTGGTTTGTAGACTAAATGAAACTGAACGGAAGATATAATGTTAAGCACTCAGCATGGGCAGGGTAGAAATATAGGGCTGACTTCTGAAACCTAAATTGCAAGCTCAAAACAATTGCTAAATATTCTTGTTTGTTTTCTTGCTTGCTTTGGTCATGCCGTTTCTAATTATATTATTACCATTTCAATGTGATAGCTTTCAGGTAATCACAGTTTTAGCTGAATAATTAACTGATATTTAGATAAAGTGGGCTTTTTTTTTGGCTTTGCTTTCGAAATCAAAACAAACACCCCCCCCCCTTTTAAAGTTTCCAAAAGTTACCCCAGCGTATGTTCAGTGTGATTACATAATTAACTTTCCCCCCAACACATCAAAAACTGTGCAAGCACCTCATTCAGAAAAGCAAGGTAAAGCAGCACATGAAATGGCATTCTAATCCATTTATGGCTGCCTGAGTGGGAAGAGGAATAATTGGGAACCGCTGGCCTCCCATTCTCAGTCGGTATTTGAAGGAAGACTATTTGGAGTAAACAGGAGCTTAAACTTTCTACTACACCCCGCTGACTGGTAGAGGAGGTGCTTGTTTATTTACCAGTCATTCCGGGATGGGCCATGACCGTGCTGTGACCAGGAATGACTCACTTCATATCTGTTTTATAAACTACCTGCATGTTTATCGTTTAAAGATGCTGCCGTTTGTACTCGCGCGTAGAAGAAAACTGTAGAGAAGGTATCCATTTCTTGTCCAGTTTACATTAGTGTGTAGTGTCTGGGAAAAACACAGACTTGACGTACGTTGTTTCCACACTCAACATCTTCCCGCAAGGACACGGCACTGTGGGCATCCATCCTCAGCTGGCTGGTGGCGGGGTACTACAGAGTCCTGAATCAACAGGAGCTGGTTCTCCTCCTAATAGTTACTGTAGCTGGGAGTGGGTGTGGGCTGGCAGCTCAGTAACCTCTTCAACACTAAGAAGGAACAGGGAATTGATTTCTCATCAGCCTTGGTTGGTGAGAAGATGAAGCTGATCACAGCCCGTTAGTCACTAAACATGCTCCTTCCCCGAGACCTTACACTATTCTAGTGTGTCATGTGGAATGTCTTCATGGAAAGGAGGGTTCGCTACGTCCATTTGAGAAACACAGATGATCAAGTATGCTTTGATGACCGTAAGAGAACTTCTTAGGTAAAGCCCGTCCACCTTCCATTGTTCGTCTCCTACTGATGCTTCATTCATTCGTTTCCCACAGTAGCATATCCGTCTTTACCAGCCAAGGTTTCCCAGCTTGCTGAGTGTTTGCACTGTTCAAGGGGTGAGGGAAAACCATGAACAGACAGCAGTGTCTGTTGCTTTTGTGTCAGGAAGGTACCCAGTCAAGAAGCAAACAAACAATTAAAACCTAGTTTGCAAATGACCATCTTTGGATGAAGTCCAAGGAACCATGACAGAATTATGGCTGGGTTAGAGTAGTGGGTGGTGGAGTCTCACCTAATGGGGGAGGTTCCTAGACTATGAAGAGGTCTTGAAATGAAATCTTGGCATGTGGGGGGGCGGGGGGCCCCCCCTTTTTTTTTTGACAGGATCTCACTGTCTAGGACTGGCTGGCCTGAAACTCACAGAGATCCACCTGCCTCTGCCTCCCAAGGGTTGGAATTAAAGGTGTTTTGTTGCTCCATGAGGCCTAGAACTTTGGTTTTTATTCCAAGAACCAAAGAAGCCTTCTGTAGTTTAATAGCTTTGTATAAAGAACTTAATAAAGTACTTATAAATAAATAAATAAAGTTCAAAATAAAAAAGCTTACATTAGAATCCAGTTGTCTTGGTGCAGTGGAACTTGTTGTAATCCAACTCTTGGTGTTGATCAAAGCCATAGACTGCACCATGTTTTGATGCAGAGCCTCAGAGCTCTCCATGGATCATTAGATGCTCTTAAAGGGACTTCAGAATGACTGGCAGGAAGGTGGTAACCACATTAAAATGTGACTTTCTTTTTCTAGTTCTTTGGCCAACAACCACATCAAAGCACTTCCAAGGGACGTCTTTAGTGATTTAGATTCTCTGATTGAACTGTAAGTAATGCAGATTAAGTTTGTGTATACTGGTCACAGGCCCTAGTCAATGTCTTTCAGATCCCTTTACTCTTGGCTCAGTAAGCAGTACTCTCACAGAGTAATGCACACGGAGAAACAGCATATGTATTGCCTTGTGTTGAATTCAGCCACCAGATACCGTGCCCTGTGTCCGATGGTAAATTAGCCTTGCTTGATAGGTGGTCCCCGAGCAGTCTTTCCATCTGCTTTGCCTTCTCAAGTTTCACTAGAAGCCTTGTGACTGTAGCATTTTGTACTGGATGCAGTTTAATAAGATTTGGAATGATCCAGTTTTGTTATGAACACTGTCTTCCTATTACCTCCTCTTTTTGTCTATGGGAACCTATAGACAAAGGGATGTTCTCCCATCCCTTCCAACCTTCACCATTGCACTGAGACAATTTTAAGAGGGATGTTGTCTCATCTTTGAGAACTGTCTGTATGCCCTTCCATTCAAATCACGCATCAAGGAATACTCAATAAAGATAACAATAAATGCAAGAAATACGATGCATTAAACACAGTAATTTTAAAGAAATTCCGTAATTGGATTGTTTTAGCTGTACTAGGCTATGAAAAACTCCAGTGTTTCATGTTACTACCAAAACACATCAACGCGTCTGCTTCCCTGTGTGTGTATTTGTGCTTTGCATTCCAGAGATTTAAGGGGTAATAAGTTTGAATGTGACTGCAAAGCCAAATGGTTGTATCTATGGCTGAAGATGACAAATTCCACTGTGTCTGATGTGCTGTGTACCGGTCCGCCAGAGTACCAGGAGAAGAAGCTCAACGATGTGACCAGTTTTGACTATGAGTGCACCACCACAGGTAGGCAGAGCCTGTCTCCCCAGAGGTGGACACGTAGAATAATTTTCTTTTCCTTCTGGACTGCCAACTGCGTGTGAGGGAAAGTGAATGTAGATGTTTCCGATCAAAGTCATTTTAGAGAAATGAACCAGGGCTGGCAAAGTGGCTTATTGAGTGAAGGTGTTTGTACCAAGTTTGGGGACCTGAGTTCGCTGCCTGGGACCTATGTGCTTGAAGGAGAGAACTGATTGCTATCAGTTGTCTTCTGGCCTACACATGCATACACACACACACACACACACACACACACACACACAAACACACACACATAAGCACATACACACTCAAACATACACATAAACACATACACATGCATACACACACACATGAACACACACACACAAACACACACACGCACGCACACATAAACACATACACACACATAAACACACACACACATAAACACATACAAACACATACACACACAAATCATGTAAAATGTTTAAGAAATAAATCAATTTGGTTGGGAAAATATCTCAACAGATAGGAAGGATTTTGTTAGCCGCACTGGCTCTAATCTTAATTTCTCTTTTTTTTTCTTCCTTTCACCCCCCCACTTTGAGATGGGGTGTTGCTATGTAGCTCAGGCTGACCTAATTCTTGTCACCTTGAGCAGCCTGGCCTTGAATTTGAAGAAATTGTTCTGCTTCAACCTCCCAAAGGCTAGCTATTATAGGCAATTTTTTTTTCACCAAGCCTGCTTTAATTTTGATTCATTGCAAAATCCAAATACTCCAATCATATTATTGTTTCTTCCTTCTAATTGTGTGTGCATTTCTGAGCGTGTGTGCATGTTCATGTATGTGCATGCGTGGGTGTGTGGATGCCAGAGGTGGAATTTGGGTGCCGTTCCTCAGGATTGCTTTTTGAGGCAGTATCTCTCAAAATACTGCTGATTCAGCTGGACTGGATAGCCGGCGAGCTCCACAGTCTAGCTGGCTCTGTCTCTCCAGCACTGAGCTTACAGTGTGCCTCACCATGTCCAGCTTTTTATATAGGTTCTGGGGGAAGAAAACTTTACTTTTCTGACTGAGCTAGCTCCCCAGCTTGCCTGTCTGTCTGTCTTTCTTTGAAGATTGAAATATAGACTTAAGAATTTGATTTGCCTTTCATGGAAAGACAGGCACAGAGAAGTCTGGATATTTTTACTGTCACTGGCTTCCCACCTCCCAGTAAGATAATACTTATTATAAGTTTAATACCAGATTCTTGTATCTGTAAGTTATTTTCCATTTCAAGTAGGCTGAGATAAGTAGGGAAATTGTAGCCTGTGGCAGAGTAGACTGTGTAAGCTGACAAGTGGTTGCTAAAGGAAAATATTCACGTTGAGGGGAAACTGTAAAGGTAGATTTTGACTTTGTTTTTTCAGAGCCCACCTCAGGGTTTCCATTTCCACATATTTTGAGGTTATGGAATAAAATTAAAATGCTGACTCCCTCCAGGTCCCCACAGGTAAAGGGCAGGGGGTGCCTCTGTTTGAAAGGCTCAAGCAGGCTTCCGCTGCTTTTGAAGCTGAATTTTCAAGGCGAGAGGATCAATCCACAGTGTGCAGCCTGCTTCCTAGATGTTGGTGGGAATAAACCGCAAGACTAGGAGTTGCTATCTACAAAGCCTGAAGGCATGTCAAGAGGAGCAGTGGGGAGGAGGGCTCAGAAAACAGCTAAGCAACACCGAATAGGGAAACATCCCAAGAACAAAGTATCACGTTTAGAAAAACCTACTGCTCCCTTCCGAACAAGCCAAAACCCACCATGTAGAGATGAATTCCAGGTGTTCGTGTGCATATGCACATGTGTGTCTGCAACTAGAGAAACTCACAGGTCCTGTTCTTTTATGGAACACTGGAAATTTCAAGCAAGTAACCTTTTCTTGCACCACAGAGCTGGGCTGTGTTCAGCTGTGTGATTGGCGGGCACCCTTTACTCAGCCTGGCCACTAAGAGGTTATTTATCGTGCTATCAGGGCAGTGCAATAAATCAGAGGTCATGGTCCGTGGCGTTTGTTCAAAAAGGTGTCATTCAAGACCATTTGGCATTAAGTGCTATGCTATAACTTTCTGAGGCTCCTCTTTGGCTTTTCCTTCAGTTCTTCTCTGGAGAATTCTCTAAAACCCACAGTGAGGTTGGCATTTCCCATCATTCTGTTCACACCTGGTCACAGTGTCTATATTGGAGAAGGTGACACAGCCTTTTGTTGCCGCTCTGGGAACAGAGCATCATTTATACAAGAAAATAGGATTTCTGACCTCAGGGCCTTCTGGATGCTTCTTATTGTGTTCTGGGACTGAGCATTAACATTGGGAAGGAGACGGCTTGGAACTGGAGCAGCCAGGACCCGAGTCCCAGAATCCCTGGAAACAATGTGCATCCTTTAACACATTTCGGCCTTCTCTTGGGTTTATTTGTTTTTGCTAACAAGGTTCCTACTCCTTGACAAAGTCCACCTAGAACTTTCAGGTACGCAGTAACTGTTCTGTTTCTGTTGCCTTGAGGCTCATGGACACACTAGCAGTGCTCCAAGATTTTTCTTTTTCAGGGTGAGGATGCAACAAGACGTCCTGTCCCCAGACGCTGCCCCTGCCACATAAGTGTGTGGTCAATAAATTGTGTGGTCAATAAATTGTGAGGGTATTGGCACTCCTGTCTTCTGCTCACCTCAAGTCCTGGCTTCTGAGGTTTTACCAAAGGCCAGGGAAAGTATGTGTGAGAGGGTGCCCGGAGGATGGAGAGCCAGACGCACTGAGAGAGAGTGGTGCCCCTTTATGGCTTCCTTCGATCTAATCTCTCTCTGTTTGGCCCCAGAGAGGAAGGCCATTGCTACCATGCTGTTCCTCCACAGAGGGGCGTAATGAGCGTGTAGCCACCACCAGGCTGTCTCAGCTCTTCAGATTCATCACAATTCTTCCACACCCTCCCCTTCAAGGCTATTTTTAACCAGGCAGAGATTCCTGTTACCCACCGATGATCCCATGTTAGGTGGATAATTCACTAAATTCCTTAGAGGGACTGAGTTTTGCATCCTAATTGTCCTGTTAGCCTCCCTTGTTCGGGCTGATGAAAATGCAACGAGAAATAATGCATTAGTGCGCACTCGCTCTCCCCATAGGCTCCGCATCATGTATAATTTATTTTCTGCAAGTTCTATAAATAGCTATGTAAAAATCCGTGGATTCCAGTGGGAGAAAGGCCGAAATTGTAAGAGACCCACTGACATCATAAACTTGATCTGATGTGAATGGAGGCCGCGGCTCTCAGGGCAGAACGCGCTATTAATCTTTTAACGCTAGGAAATTGGTATCATGTCGATACGTGTGTCCTTTGAGGTCTCTCTACAATGACCGCGTCTTTGGCTTTGTGAAAGTCGGGTTCAGATGTGGGTAGGAAAAGGTATTTAAAAATGTCTAGTGCCTTTCTCCAGCATGTCTAGGTACCTGTCTCAGTCACGGTCCCTGAGCTTTCCTTCCTTTTCCTTTGATGGTGGCAATAGGACTGTCTTCTACGAAGGATTTGTCATTACATGGCTAACAATCTGTGTCATGCAAAATAGGAAATATGAAATGATGAATTTAACTTGAAAAAAATATAACAGGCCCATGGAAAGCTTGATTTGTATAAGTTCTGAATCCAGGTAGAACTATTTCAGACAAAACTGTCTTTTGATTTTTAATTGTGTGTATGCCTATGGATTTGTGCATACTTGGTGCCCGCGGAGGCCCGAAGAGGGTGTGCTAGCTCTTGGAGCTGGAATTACTGATGGTTGTGAGCCGTCGGACATGGCTGCTGGGAATCGAACTTGAGTTCTCTGCAAGAGCTGCAAGTCCACTTAAGCACTGAGCCATCTCTCCAGCCCCCAGTCTGGTAGATCTTTTCTGTTGCAGGATTCCTCAGTAAAGGGGGAAACCTTTTATTCTGCTGTAAAAACACACACATTCTGACTCAGAGGCTTATATTTCTGAGACTTGAGAACACAGTTGGGAGAGAAATGGGAACTAGCAGATAAGGGAGCTGAAGATATCAGGGAGGGTTTAGAACCTGTGACCTTCATTGTAAACGGAGATCACGCTTTCGTTTCTCTGCCACCAATAGCCGAATAATCACACAGAAACTGTATTAATTACAACACTCTTTGGCCAATGGCTCAGGCATATTCCTAGCTAGCTCTTACATCTTAAATTAGCACATTTCTCTTAATCTATATATCACCTCAAGACTGTGCTTACTGGTAATGTTCTGGCATCTCTCTCCTTTAGCAGCTATATAGATGACTGGAAATGGATTAATTTAAATGTAAGAGCTAGTTAGTAATAAGCCTGAACGATAGGCCATGCCTTTTGTAACTAATATTAAGCCTCTGAGTGGTTATTTAGGATTATTTAGAAGTGTCTGTGGGATGAGCCAGGACTGAAAAACCTCCGTTTACAGGTAGTGGTCAGGGGTATGTGTGTCAGGAGCAGACTAGGCATCTTCCCTAAGTCTTCGGCAGGTAGCTTGCTACTGTCACCTTGCATAAGTAAAATCCTTGCTGACTGGCATGGGCTGAGTGTCATGCCTCACACCATAGCCTTTGGAAATGGAGATTCCAAATTCCACCTTCAATCACACAGAAGCCTGATCTGCCTGACCTCCTGAGCTGGCCTCCCCTGGACTCTTGGCTCTCTGCTGAGATGTGGGGTCCTACCCTGTCCACTAGAGCCATATATCTCTCCACTGCTCACTCACCTACCTGTTGGGCTACAGAAGCATCCTCCTCTTAGTTCCCAGTGACAAAACTCTTCTCCCCATCTCACAGAACCTGCTTGCTGTATTCAGTCTCCTTGTCTGTCACCCACAGTCTCTACAACAGACTTGGGCTAAGGCTATGTCCACCCATTGAGTTAAGGTGTATTAAGCACTTCTTTTGCACCCTAAATGAAGGTGCACTTTTGCATCTCTTAAAGTGAAGGCATGAAACTTCCTTCTTTGTTAAGCTAAGTGGTACTCATGTGCATGCAAATGTGACAGATGTGTGCGTACCCCATCCCCTTGCTTAGGAAGGTAGAGAGATGTTCTTTCATTTCCCCCAAGATAAGAGCATCAAGAATCAACTCAGCCAAAATGTTGTTAAAATAGATTCCCTCCCCACAAAGATGGCCAGCACGCAGACTCAGAGGGAAAGCCCATGTCTGAACCTGATGTTTATACTTCGTGGGCTGAGCTCTGAGGTAGGCATTTTCATCCATTTCTGACCTACCCCTGCCACAGAGTTGAGAGGGGCAGCCTCCTTACCTCATCTTAGGACAAACAAACTGAGACCTGGAAGTGACCAGCCCTGGGTCTTCAGGGTAGGAAGTAGCATCAGGCCATTCATCTCCAGGCACGGTGCTGCACTTCCTAGTGCCTCGCATAGTCCTTGTCCCCTGAGCCCTGGCTTTCTCCTGCCACCTCTCCTGCCTCTTCTGTTGGATGAGCTCCCTTGATGCATGGCTCATGTGACATCTTTGATAGGGCAGTGACTCCAAATTCGACTCTGATGCTATTGTTTGGAGTCGCGTGAGTAAGACGTAAACGCGATATTGCTGGTCCTATGAACCTTGAATGAGGATGGTTAAGGATTGTTTGAGGAAGAGCCGAGAAAACCCATGATCTCCTGTATGCATAACCAGGGGGCTGTACACGTTGGAGCATTTCTGGCCAGAACTGCTTAATCTCTGTTTTTGGTTGTTTTTTTTTCCATTTGTTGTGAATGTTTGTTCTTTGAGACAGGGTCTCACTGTGTGGCCCTAGCTGGCCTGCAGCTTGCTGTGTAGACCAGCCTGGCCGTGGACCCACAGCAATTTGCCTGCCTCTACCTCCTGAGGACTAGGATTAAGCATATGTGCCACATGCCCCGGTGTGTGTGTGTGTGTGTGTGTGTGTGTGTGTGTGTGTGTGTATGATATGCTAACTCTGTGGTCAACCCCCCTCTGCCCCTTGGCAATTCTGTGCCATACTCAAAGTTCCACAGAGAGTTAGTGGTCATTTATGCCACTGTGCTGCATGCGTTCCTGCAGAATTCCTTGTCTGCTTGTTGCTTTGTCCTGATGCCCAGTCCCTAGGCACAGCACACCAAGTCCAGTGTCTAGGGAGCTCGTTTCCACAGGAGTACTTTCTAAGACGCCTTATGAGACCCTTGCAGAAGGTATTTGTTCCCAGACTTATGCGTGCCCTGTTTGGAAGTGTAGTACTCACTATGGCCTGCAGAGGCGCTGTTTCCCCATAAGGGGTGTGTAGAATTGAATGTAAATGACAGGTGACCACAGGATCCCTATTTCTTGTTGAGTCTGAGAAGTGGTACATCAAGCCATATTAAGCCAGTTTCTTTCCTGGAAGGGTTACTCTGAGAGAACTGGAAGTGTAGCATTCTCAGAACTTACTAGAACACAGCATGCCAACTTCATGAATTTCCTGCAGCCTTCCTTCCTGCCCTGGCTTTCTGAAAGCCGGGTCTCCCAGATCCACTTAGACAGTTGAGATCTTGTTAGTAACTTGTGACACTGTCTCCAGGAAGCAGTATCAAAGATTCCACTGGTGGGACTAGAGAAATAGCTCAGAGGTTAAGAGCATTGACTGCTCTTTCAAAGGTCCTGGGTTCAATTCCCAGCAACCATATGGTGGCTCACAACCATCTATAATGAGATCCGATGGCCTCTTCTAACATATGTAATAAATAAATAAATAAATCTTTTTTTTTAAAAAGTGCATGTGTGTGTATGTATGTGTGTGTATGTGTGTGTGTATATATATATGTATGCATGTATGTGTGTGTATGTATATATATATATGTATATGTATGTATGTATGTATATATATATATATATATATATATATATATATATATATATATAT